CTGGCTAAATGAGGGCTGGAAGCGGGGCGGCCAGAAGCAGGGGGTGGGGCTTCGTCATGTGCCCCGCCCCCCATACCTCACCCAGGGGAACTGCGATCCCCCGCGTTCCCCCCCCGAAATGACCTCTGGTTGCAGGTGTGATGGCATGTCTTCCAGGGAAAACCCACATGTGACCATGGGTAACTCTAGGAATTGCTGGTAACTCTATGGGAAGTAGGGCTGCCAAGTGGGGGCGGGGGGTGGGTAAACCCCCACTTTGGAGGCCCGATTTCCACCGCCACGGAACCCCGCCCCCTGAAACGCAGCGTGGGTGCGTCACAGGAAGTGACACAACCACGTAGAGCACGTTGGGGGCGTGGCCCCAATCGTTGGAGGGAAAACTCTCTCGGCAGCTCCCAGACCGAGGCAACACTCCCCCGCCGGTGAGTCAGAACGACTTGGCAACCCTAGTCCAGCGGTTGGAAAAATGTTTTCATGTGTGAATTCATATTGAGAACAGTCAGGTTGTGAGAGGGCCCGATTCAAATCGGGCCCCTATGCAGCCCGAAACATGGAATTCCCAGCGCATTGCGCAAGTCCGCACAAGGAGCTGAAAGCGGAGGTTACGGCCTGAGCGGCAGTTCCAGACACCTGGGATCCCTCCTCTCTGTTCAAAGGGGAGGAGAAGGGCACAGAAGAATTGAAAAGATAACGGTCCAGTCAGCTGCCGCCCGCATCCCTGAGCCATCCTATCAGTGCTTCCACGACCCTTCCTGATTCCTCCTCTGTGGCGGAGTTGGGCGGTTGCTTGTGCAGTGTTGCAGCAGCATTCTAAGAAAGAGGCAAGGACTGAGCCCTGTAAACCTCTGTTGTGCTGCAGAGCATCAGGGCTCTGCTATATTGAAGGCAAAAATAATACAGCCAAAATAAACTGGGGGAGGGGGTTGGTATTTTTTGCAGTTTTGTGTGTGTGTGCGTGCAACCGTGCCTGGAAGTCCTGGCGACCTCTGGCAACTCCTACTGGGGCATGGAGGACGTTCAGAGAAGTGGATTGATAGCCTGCCTCTGCTTCCTGGCCCTGGTATTCTTTGGTTTTTTAAAAAATAACTGTATTTATGTAAAACATTGTATACCTACATTCCTAGCATGATGCTCTTGAGGCAGCTCCCATTAAACCTGTAAGGCCATACGGGTGGAACGAGCTCCCGGAAGAGATCAGGGCCCTGCGGGATCTTTTACAGTTCCGCAGGGCCTGCAAGACGGAGCTCTTCCGCCAGGCTTTCAACTAGGAGCCGCCCCACCACTGCCACCAACATTTGTGGTAGCGGGCTGGCCCCAGTTTGGAGATCGAGCCATACCTTCGTGTGACGCCGGAAGATCATTGCGTCTGAAATCCTGCTCATTACACCATAGAGCACGCCATCTTAATTAACGAAGGAAATGATTACTGCTAGCACTCTGATTATTCACTTGTTTTAAGATGTTTTAAATGTTTTATGTGGATTTTGTGGTACCTCGTGCCGATTAACGTGAGCCGCCCTGAGCCTGTTCGCGGGGAGGGTGGGATATAAGTAGAATCAGGGCTCTTTTTGTAGCAGGAACTCATTTGCATGTTAAGCGACATACCCCTAATGTAGCCAATCCTCCAAGAGCTTACAGTAGCTCCTGTAAGAAGAGCTCTGTAAGCTCTTGGAGGATTGGCTACATTAGGGGTGTGTCGCCTAATATGCAAGGGGTTCCTGCTACAAAAAGAGCCCTGAAAAATAAATAAAGTTAAAACAAATAGATACACGAAAAAGAAAGTCCGACTCTAAAACACAGCAGGGGGAAATCCCTTACAAACCGTTTTTCAAACTCCAGAAATGAATCAGTAGAGTAAAAACATATAGTAGGAATGAGTGGACAGCAGAGCAAAACAGCACAGATGGAAATGTGCTGCCCCCCTACCCTTACACTACCCCTGGACGAAGGTCAAAGGACCTATTAGATGAACTCAGGGGCCTGTCATCCTAAAATCCATCCTGCCCCAACACAAAGTAGGGAGGGGATCATTAACAGCTCCCAAATACTAGGATAAAGAGGGGCCAACTACACCCTTGACTTGATTTAAGGAAGAAAAGTGGGGAATTAACACTAAACCTGACTGGGGGGGGGATTATTTAACTTGGCCAATCAGATGTCACTTTTTTCACAAGTTTACGATGGGAACTTGCAGCCGTACTGAATCTTTCGCCTTTTACTGGCCTTGGTATTCCTTGGAGGACTCCCATCCAAATACTTGCCAGGGTCGGCTCTGTTTGGCTTCCAAGATCTGACGAGATTGGGCTTGCCTGTTTTGCATTGGTGAGGCATAGATTTATTTTGCCTCTCAGGATGTAGGTAAAGGTTTCTCTTGCTCGAAAGCCAGTGGAATCCGGCTCTAGGGGGCGGTGCTCATCCCCGTTTCCAAGCCGAAGAGCCAGTGCTGTCCGAAGATGTTTTCATGGTCATGTGGCCGATATGACTAGATGCCGAGGCGCACGGAATACTGTTACCTTCCCACCGGCGCAGTACCTATTTATCTCCGTGCAGTTTCTTGCTTTTGAACTGCTAGGTTGGCAGGAGCTGGGGCCAGAGACAGGAGCTCACTCCGTCACGCAGCACTCGGGTCTCGAATTGCCTAGCTACCGACCTTCTGGTCTGCAGCTCAGTGTCCTAACCCTGCAGGAGATAATCACACTTGGAGAAATTGAACTAGCCATTAATGAAGACTGGTGTGGGGGAGACTTATCACAATACATGTGATAAGTGATTTACTAAAGTAATCTTAAGTGATTTACTAAAGTACCAAATTGAGATAGGGTCACCTGAAGCTACTGCCTACTGAGTCAGGCCCTGGTCTCTTAAGGCAAGTATTCTCTACTCTGACTGGAAGTAGTTCTCCAGGATCTCAGGTCAAGGGTTTTCACATCACCTACCCATCTTGTCAGATCCTTTTAACTGGAGATGCCGGGGACTGGACCTGGGACCTTCTGCATGTAAAGCAGACGCTCTACAGCTGAGTCACGGCCCCATCTCAGCCACAAGTTCGCAGTGACTCTTATGTTGTGCCAGTGTTGCAATTGTGAAATTATTTACTGTGGAAGAGGAAGCCCCACTGAAGTCAAGTAAAGGTCAAGGTCTCCCTTGCTCGAAAGCCAGTCGAATCCGACTCTAGGGTTGCGGTGCTCATCTCCGTTTCAAAGCCGAAGAGCCAGCGCTGTCCGAAGACGTTTCCGTGGTCATGTGGCCGGCATGACTAAACACCAAGGCGCACGGGACCCTGTTACCTTCCCACCGACGTGGTCCCTATTTATCTACTTGCCATTTCTTGCTTTCGTACTGCTAGGTTGGCAGGAGCTGGAACTAGAGATGGGAGCTCACTCCATCATGCAGCACCCAGGTCTCGAACTGCTGAACTACTGACCTTCCACAGCCTGCAGTTCAGCCTCTTAACCACTTGAGCCACCGCAGCTCCCAAACTGAAGTCAAACAGGGACGTAAAAGTTCACCCTGCCTTAAAAAGCACTTTCCCTTCTGGATTTCAGGCAAGAAAACCCTAATTATCCTTGAAGACAAATTAAAGAAGCTGGAAGAGGAGTGCAAGGTGAAGGAGTCTGAACGTGTCTCTCTGGAATTGGAGTTGACTGAGGTGAAAGAAAACCTGAAGAAGGCCTTGGCTGGAGGCATCACACTAGGGCTGGCAATAGAGCCCAAACCAGGAGCATCCAGCGCCCAGGTACTTGGATCCGTTCTGCTTTTGATATGGGGCGATTCTGCATCTGGCATTCGCTCCACATTTTCTCAACTGGGAGGGAAAAGTGCAGCTCAAAACCACATCCAAATACCTGGGGGCAACACCCGCGCGGACTGCGGAGTCACCCCTGAACGGCCATAAAACGGCCATAAGTCTATGCGGAAGGTACAATTAAATCCCACGATCAAAGAACTCGAAAGAGGTATGGAGTGTGAACGATACCATAAATCCGGATAGTCAAAGGGAGTGAAACCAGCATGCACTGCAGAGGGGAATTTCTGGTTCCAACGTGGGTTTGGTAAGACAACGGAGGGAAAAGCCAATGCAGAATCAGCCGTTGTTACCAAATACGTTGGGACGGGACACTCTTAGGCCCAGTCTGCATCTAGCGTTTGCTCCTCTGTCTTACCAAACCCAGGCTGGAACATAAATTCCCCTCTGCATCACAGGCCACTTTCACTTAGATGAATTGCCGAATTTTATGGCAGTGTCCAGACTGCAGGCCCCTCTCACTTCGCTTGATCTCTCGGTTTTATAGCAGCCGTCTGCATAGACTTATGGCCGCTTTATGGCCATTCAGGGGTGACTCTGCAATCAGTACAGCGTTGGCCCCGGGGTCTTTGAGTGTGGTTTTGAGCCGCATCTTTTTCTGTTCCAGCGTGGGCCCAGTCTGCAAATGCTCCGTGTGAACAGGGCCTGAGAACAGTAAATGCAGAGAATGCTTTCTTTTGTCCATCCTGAGTCTGCTGGCCATTGATTGACCTGAATTCTTGTATGTGGGAAGAGGAGGAAAGTCTCCCCCCACCCCCCCCACCCCGAGTACTTTTTTCTCACATGTACACCCAGCCCCAGTTGTCATCTTTTAAAATTAAATCTAAAACTCATCCGTGTATGAATGTTATGCACTTTGATGAATCTTCCCTCAGATTGTTCTGTGTTCTTAATTCAGTCTCCAGTGCTTAAACATCAGACACTGGAAAACTCGCCCATCTCCAGCTGTGACACGAGCGATACCGAATGTTCAGTGCCTGTGAACAGTGCGGTGGTTTTAAAAAGGCATTCCTCTTCGAGCACCTCCCCCGGCAGAGGCCACGTGCTTCAGAAGGCAAAGGTAAGGCCTGACGTTCTGCCTAGATTGAGGAGCCAGCACGGTCCCAGTGTGGTGTATTTTATTTATGAATAAGATCTTTACTTCACCTTTCTGCCCCCACAGGGCCAGCGAGGCGACTAACAAAGGAAAACATAAAAATTAAAAATGTCATCTTTAAAGCCAGTAAAACCGACACGCAAATGCATCATTAAGACAAATTAAAAGCAAAGCTTAAAATAAGTACCAAAGATTGAAAACAATAGTTAAAACATTGGGGGGGGGGGATCCTAGTGGTTAGAGCAGCACGGTCCCGACAATGCGGCCTCCACTCAGGCAACGGACCTAGTGTGGATTCTGGATTCTCCCAATGTGTAATGACTCCCACTCACCGGGCTGGGCACATGCTTGACTTGATCTTCGCGGCGGGGGTTACAGTGGACCGGATCACTACCTTGGCAGTGCCATGGTCGGACCACCTTGGCCTGAGGGCCCGTCTGAATGTCTCATCCCAACTCTGTGTGGGCGGCGAGCATATTTTAGCTTGCCCACGGAGCCAAATGGACCCTACGCAGCTTCAGATGGCTCTACAGAATCCGATGCCCCCTGGCGGTTTGTTAGATGAGCTTGTAGAGGATTGGCATAGCCGACTCTCCGCAGCCACCAACGAGATTGCTCCCCGACGCCCTCTGCACCCTCGCTCCAAGCTCGCACCTTGGTACACCCAAGAGTTGCGGCTGATGACGCGAAGGCTGAGACAGCTAAAGAGACAGTGGCGCTGTGCCCGCGACGAAGCCACAAGGACATCCGATAGGACGTTTAGGAGATCCTATGAGACAGCAGTTAAAGCTGCGAAGAAAGAGTACTACACAGCTTCGATTGCGTCTGCAAGCTCATGCCCAGCACAATTGTTTAGAACGATTCGGTCCACGACGACACTGCCACAAGGCAGGTCCAACGCTAGGGACATTGGCTGTGAGGCTTTTGCAAGCTATTTCACGGACAGTCTTGTCCCTCCACCATGACCTCCCTGCCACAGTTGAGACAGTGAGTGAACTCAGGGCTCCATTGCACATCTTCTAGTCAGGTTATGGATCATTTCAGTCAGGGCTTTTTTTGTAGAAAAATCCCAGCAGGAACTCATTAGCATAATAGGCCACACCCAACAACAGAAACCCATTAGCATAATAGGCCACACCCATGAGAGCATGGCTCATTAGCCGATTAGGCCGCACCCCCATGTTACCAGAAGTATAGTCATCCAGCCACACCCACCTTTTGCTTCTTATTCTGTTTACCTTGTTTGTTGTCAACACCTAAGGCCTTTTTTTGTAGCAGGGACCAGTGTTCCCTCTAAGCTGAGTTTGTGTGAGCTAGCTCACAGTTTTTTAGCCTCCGGCTCACACATTTTTGTCCTCGCTCAGGAAGGATGGCTCCAGAGGAAACTGATTTATGCAGTAGCCAAATGCCTCGCTCACAACTTTAATGCCAGCAGCTCACAAAGTAGAATTTTTGCTCACAAGACTCCACAGCTTAGAGGGAACGTTGGCAGGGACTCCTTTGCATGTTAAGCCACACGCCCCTACTGTAGCCAATCCTAATGAGTTTCTGCTGTTAGGTGTGGCCCATTATGCTAATGAGTCCTGCTGGGCGTGGCCAACTTGGGAGCCAGCGGGAACTCCGTTCCTGTGCGTTCCTGCCCAAAAATAGCCCTGATCGTAGAATGAAGGAGGTCCTTCCTGTTCTGCACCATATTGTCTGTCCCATTGTGCTGGTCACGGTGGGTTCTGAGGTGCCCTAGGGGAGATTATCAGCAATTCCCTCTTGGAGGGTCTGTTCCCTGGAACACGTAAGGAGGCTGTGGTTCATCCCTTCTTGAAAAAAAACATCTCTGGATCCAGCCAAATTGGCCAACTTTGGGCCGGTTTCCAACTTGCCCTATTTGAGCAAGTTAACCGAGAGGGCCGTGGTCGTCCAGCTACAGAGCTTTTTGGATGACACTTCCACTTTAGAGCCTTTCCAGTCCGGTTTTCGCCCAGAACATGGGACGGAGACAGCACTGGCCGCCCTCACAGACAACCTCCAGAGGCATCTGGATTGAGGCAGGTCGGCAGTGCTGTGGTTGTTAGACCTGTCAGCAGCGTTTGACACCATCAGCCATCAGCTACTGATCTACCATCTCGCCGACTCTGGAGTTCAGGGGCTTGCCTTGCAATGGCTTGCATCCTTCCTTAGAGATGTGAAGGCCCGGAAAAAAACCGGAAAAATTTGGGTGGGGAAACGTTTTTTCCACGTTTTTTTCCTGAAGCCTTTTTTGTTTTTTTCCAAAAAATTGGAAAAATTGAAAAAAGAAAAGAAAAAAATTGATTATGGAACATTTTATTTTAACATGATGAATAAAATATTTTAAGACAAGGTGTTCAAATATTTTCCAAATCATTTCTAATATATATATATGGTATCAGATTGATCTAATTTCTGGGCACTGAGGGCAAGCAAGTCCTAGGTTACAAACTGAACTCTCCAATGCAAGAACAAGATGCATTTCTTCCTTTAGGAGGTGCGATTGTCAGAAGAAAATAATAAGGTTTCAGTTTTGTTTTTGCATGTGGGTGGTTATTCTGTTTGTAATAACTGTTTGGATACACTATATTCTTAATATGCTAGTTGTGATCATTTCATGCCAAGTAAAAATGTCCATAGTCATATTTTATGTTCCTAAAGTA